ATATGTTGGATATATTTTTGGGCTTGTACTGTACATTACACACACAAAAGATTTAACAAACAAAAATTGGTGCAATTTTTTTAATGAGACAAAACGTTATATAGAACTAATAGACAAATTAATTGTTGTCTGTGGCCTAAGAGGTGCATTTCAGCAAATATTGAATTTGTACTTTGACAACTTCCATGAATGATCTATTGGTATGAATGTGTCAAACTACATGAGAATAAATGATTTCCACTTTTATTTGATAGAAATTTTGTAAAAAAAGTCACATTTCAACTTACATGCCCCAAATTTAGCTTTTTCAGTTGTTTCAATATTTTTACAAAAGTAGCTTGCTTACTTTCTCTCTGACAGGTTTTTTGATTTTCTATTTGTGTTAATGGTATTTACTTTAGATGTTTTACTCATTTATGAACTCTGGACACAAAGAAAAGTAGATAAAAACAGAAAAAAGTGCAAAATGTGCTGTTTTAATTGTCTAAGTCTAACAGTCCGTATGAAGCAAGTGAAATATGAGGTTCTATGCACATACAAGTTGAATTCCTTTTAGCAGATTTCATTGAATCTGTATCAAAAGCACTTATTACTGGTTGTTTTACCTTGTCTGTTTCACAGACTATCTTTATTTTCTTCTGTTGGATAGCTAGTGGTTAAAATATTGGCCTTTAGAGGCTAAATTCTCATACGGGTTTTAAACAGTAAAGTGAATAAACTTTGCATCAGACCATACTGTCTACATAAAAAGTTGAAATCAACAGTTTTGTTACATCCAGGTTTCATGTTTCATCATATCTAAGCAAAGATTTGAGCAAAAAGAAGCATATTTCCATCTCCCATATCATTTATATGCTTTTTAATATGCAAATATGGGGAACGGCCTAAATTGACAACTTGTTTTTTTAAGCTTGACATTGCTTAAGACCATTTCATCCTCATGTGTTATGCTATTTGAAACTTATATTTCCATTGAAAGTACATTTATTATATGTAGACGGTTTTTTTTTATAACTTAACAACTTCAGAAAATTGTTGTAAGTGGAAAATATTACATTTCATATAAAGCCTCACTTCATTCGAAAACTTCTATTTTTTGGCACAGGCTCATATAAAAATAACTTTTGGCCATTTATTATAAGTCTTATACATTCAAGTATGCTATCTGTTACTTTAAATAGATGATATCTTATACATAGAGACATTAAAAAGTGCACATTTTTGTATCTTTTTGTTTTTTGAAGCCCAAATTTGATAGTTGAAATTGTTCTAATTCAACATCACAATTCAGCACCCAAAGTTCAGATATAAAAAATGCCACATATTCTATAATTGATATCATATGGCTTTGAAACTGGGTAAACTGTCTCATAATACACTAAGCTTAAATCATGCTAAGTTTTATTAGAAATGGTCAAGTTTTTGACCGCTAATAGGCCTGAGACCACAATTAATGACCCGCTTTTCGTTGTGCACGAATATAATTTCCTTTAATTAAAGTGTATTTTTCTTTATTTTTTTTCTTTCCCTTTCTCATTCATTTCTTAGTTTTTATGGGGTGGAAATGAAAGAAGAGAGCTGAATATAAATTTTTGGATGTTGTATTTTAACTGATTTTGATATGGAAAGAGTGATTAGGCCAGGTGCAAAAAGGTAATATTTACAGTTTTCGGAACATCTCTTGACTGGTTCATAGGGGTATTGATGTGTATTGGCTAAATTTGTAAGATGTACAAGAGCAATTTTTCTATATGTTGGATATATTTTTATATGGACTTGTACTGTACATTACACACACAAAAGATTTAACAAAAAAAAATTGGTGCAATTTTTTTAATGAGACAAAACGTTATATAGAAGTAATAGACAAATTAATTGTTGTCTGTGGCCTAAGAGGTGCATTTCAGCAAATATTGAATTTGTACTTTGACAACTTCCATGAATGATCTATTGGTATGAATGTGTCAAACTACATGAGAATAAATGATTTCCACTTTTATTTGATAGAAATTTTGTAAAAAAAGTCACATTTCAACTTACATGCCCCAAATTTAGCTTTTTCAGTTGTTTCAATATTTTTACAAAAGTAGCTTGCTTACTTTCTCTCTGACAGGTTTTTTGATTTTTTATTTGTGTTAATGGTATTTACTTTAGATGTTTTACTCATTTATGAACTCTGGACACAAAGAAAAGTAGATAAAAACAGAAAAAAGTGCAAAATGTGCTGTTTTAATGGTCTAAGTCTAACAGTCCGTATGAAGCAAGTGAAATATGAGGTTCTATGCACATACAAGTTGAATTCCTTTTAGCAGATTTCATTGAATCTGTATCAGAAGCACTTATTACTGGTTGTTTGACCTTGTCTGTTTCACAGACTACATTTATTTTCTTCTGTTGGATAGGTAGTGGTTGAAATATTGGCCTTTAGAGGCTGAATTCTCATACGGGTTTTAAACAGTAAAGTGAATAAACTTTGCATCAGACCATACTGTCTACATAAAAAGTTGAAATCAACAGTTTTGTTACATTCAGGCTTCATGTTTCATCATATCTAAGCAAAGATTTGAGCAAAAAGAAGCATATTTCCATCTCCCATATCATTTATATGTTTTTTAATATGCAAATATGGGGAACGGCCTAAATTGACAACTTGTTTTTTAAGCTTGACATTGCTTAAGACCATTTCATCCACATGTGTTATGCTATTTGAAACTTATATTTCCATTGAAAGTACATTTATTATATGTAGAAGGTTTTTTTATAACTTAACAACTTCAGAAAATTGTTGTAAGTGGAAAATATTACATTTCATATAAGGCCTCACTTCATTTGAAAACTTCTATTTTTTGGCACAGGCTCATATAAAATTAACTTTTGGCCATTTATTATAAGTCTTATACATTCAAGTATGCTATCTGTTACTTTAAATAGATGATATCTTATACATAGAGATATTAAAAGGTGCACATTTTTGTATCTTTTTGTTTTTTGAAGCCCAAATTTGATAGTTGAAATTGTTCTAATTCAACATCACAATTCAGCACCCAAAGTTCAGATATAAAAAATGCCACATATTCTATAATTGATATCATATGGCTTTGAAACTGGGTAAACTGTCTCATAATACACTAAGCTTAAATCATGCCAAGTTTTTATTAGAAATGGTCAAGTTTTTTACCCCTAATAGGCCCGAGACCACAATTAATGACCCCGCTTTTCGTTGTCCACGAATATAGTTCCCTTTAATTAAAGTGTATTTATCTTTATTTTTTTTCTTTCCCTTTCTCATTAATTTCTTAGTTTTAATGGGGGTGGAAATGAAAGAAGAGAGCTGAAATAAGTTTTTGGATGTTGTATTTTAACTGATTTTGATATGGAAAGAGTGATTAGGCCAGGTACAAAAAGGTAATATTTACAGTTTTCGGAACATCTCTTGACTGGTCCATAGGGGTATGGATGTGTATTGGCTAAATTTTTAAGATGTACAAGAGCAATTTTTCTATATGTTGGATATATTTTTGTACTTGTACTTTACATTACACACACAAAAGATTTGACACAAAAAATTGGTGCAATTTTTTTAATGACACGAAACGTTATAAAGAACTAATAGACAAATCAATTGTGGTCTGTGGCCTGTTCTCTTATCGTCGTGCTTTGTGTCTATTGTTTTTATATAAATGGGTTTTTTTGTGACGATCTATTGGGTTCATCCATTTGCAACTGATATTTTCAGTTTGTTTTTGGTTAAAGATTGCATGAAATACAATCAAAACCCTATGATACTGACTTGATATCTTCCAAGGTTGGTCACTACCTTTGATAGTTCAAACAAAATAGTGCAGTGAAGTGATCGTTATTTAGATCCTATCCAGTCAATGTCATGCAATTAATTGATGATATGTTATACTTTGATATTTAAGTTACAATATGATGTGTATTTGAATTACCATACTTGTCAAGAAAACATTTTTTTTATTAAAAGTAATGCATGGTGTATGAATCTGCTATAGAAATAGGTTCAACTACAAATGTACAATCATGAACAAAGGAAGATAACTCCAACTAAATTTTATAACTTGCCTAGCAAAATACAATTCTATGTTATACTCAAAAATTCACAAAATTGCAAAATAAAAGCAATCTTTACCCTTCAGTGCTCACAAGCACTTTGATTATGTTGTGTTGTTATACCACTGTCCCAGGTTAGGGGAGTGTTCAGCAATCACACACATTCTGTATGTGCCTGTCCCAACAGGTGCCAGTAATTCAGTGGTGGTTGTTGGTTCATGGCTGTCATATAAAAATAAGGAGATGTGGTATGGTTGCCAAACTATTCACCAAAGTTCAAATGAAGTGGATGTAAGCAACTATAGGCAACCGCACTGAATTTGAGAGCAGCAACTAAAATGCATGTGCAAGGGGTGTTAGTCTCGCTATTCAGACAACTCTAGTTTGTAAATTGTACTGTTATTAGTTATGTCGTAAGTTTTCTTATTTAATTATTTACACATTTTTAATGTCAGGGCCTTTTATAGCTTACTATACGGTATGGGTTTTTCTCAATAAATAGGCCTTATGGTTTCCTATAATTACTTACATCCATTTCATTTGAACTCTGGTGAATAGTTGTCTCATTGGCAGTCATACCACATCTTATTTTCATATTAAATAAAGTAAACATTTTATTAGTCTAAACACTGGGTCATAGAAAAGGAATTTAGCAAAAGATAAATGTATACAATAAATGTACATTAATAAAACAAACAAGTGATGTGGTTCCATCAACAACCTCTTTATAAAGGACACATGTCCATTAAGGGCATTTACCTGCCTTCACTTGAGTGCCCTTTATGAACCGGTTTGACTGGTTATATCTTTGATTTTTTAGGGGAAATAAAATTCTCATCTTCAATTATATGATTCACATTGGGGAAAACAACACAAGTCTATTTACTAAAACGATTATGCTTTACATTTTTTAAATGTTTTTTTTTCAGACAGAAAAAGACGATGATCTCTTGGCCAACGACAGAGGTAGAATTCTTTTAGGATTAAAGTATGACCCTAGGAAAAATGCTCTCTATGTTTATGTTATCCGATGTGTGGGACTAGCAGCTTGTGATGCTAATGGCTATTCAGATCCTTACGTGAAATTGTAAGTTTATTAATGCATTTCCCTTAAAAACAGCTATATTGCATTGACCTTGTCCATCTCTTTGTTCGTCCTTATGTTTGTCTATTCGTCCAACTAATATTTAGACCACACTTTTTCAGCTACAACTGAACATAATAGCGTCATATTTGGTCAGCAGCTTGAAAGAGATGTGTGGTCATTTTTGGGATTGGTCACACTTATTACAGCCAGAAATCACCTTTAAATTGTAGCCAACAAAAGACACAAATCAATAATAAAATTTAACAAGATTTATTAAACACAAGTTTACAAGAATATTATACAAATTGAAATGTCAACTTAACTGTTAAAATATATGTCCGATCCTTTTGTCTTTTCTTTATCCGGAATTCTTCTCTTCACTGTTGCGGGAATCCAAACAGAATATTATGTCCAATAAGTCACAATCTAGTATGACGTAGTTAACGTAAATAAAAGTGTCAATCCAACATCTGAGAACACAAGAATGTTAATGTCTAATCTGAAAGTCTGACTTTAGTGTCTGTATATATATAGTTGTCACGGAAATCTCTAGAACACTGTAGAAGAAAAACTCCTAGAAAACTGTAGAACTGAAACTTCTAGAATGCGGTAGAAGTTTAAATTACACATCGTAGATTATGATAATTCCAGAATTATTATGTAAGTCAAATAGAAAGTTCTAATCATTCCATCAGTATCTATGATTGTTCCAGTGATTTTTAAACTGCACAATTATAACATTATTTTGTAAAAAAAAAATATATAATGCCACACAGAACAAATTAGGCCAAGATAAATAAACATGATAATTACAATATCATAACACCTCCCCTCTTAAAAGAAGTTTGAGTGTAAAGAGAACTTTTCATGAACAGTATATACAAAAATATATAGTACATGTATGTATGGCACGCCTGAACCACTTTTATTAATTAATCTTAGATTATCTCAGATAAACTAGGATTATCTCAGATAATCCCGGTTTATCTCAGATAAACTAAGATTATCTCAGCTTAATTCAAATTCGAGAAAATCCTAGTTTATCTCAGAAAATACAGAAAATTCATTATCTGGAGAAAATCCCGGTTTATCTCAAAATATTAAGAAAATCTAGGTTTTTCTGAGCTATTTTCAGATAATCCTAATTTATCTCCAGATAATTTTTTTTTTCAATTTCAGATAATGAATTATCTCATTTCTCGAGAAAATCTAGGTTTATCTCGGATTCTAAATATACAAAAGAACAATGTAACGAGTGTTTAAATTGGACGACAATCCGGCGTTTAACGTTTTACTTTCTCTTTGAAACCATGATGATGACGAATTCACTTCCTATTATTGGATGAACGGGGATGTGCCAAAATATGGGTCATAATTTTGCGAGATTTTATATAAAAATTAGCGTCCTTTTTCAGAGGAGGGGCGACATTCAGCATACGGCACGCAATTTTTACTTATATTATTGATCGATCGCTGTGTTATTGTGTCATTTATCACTACTCGTTGTGTGAACATCACCGTTATTGACACCTGGACAAGCGAAATTTGTTGAATCAATTATAAAAACAAGTAATATACAGAAGGGCTGATTATATACAATATACATATACTTTGTACATACATAATAAACAAATTTGGTAGCTATTTCTTTTACACAAACTGACTGTTTATTACCGACGGCTAATTTCGACATCGATAATCATTGAATTCTCATATTTTAATTTATTCAGTCGGTTTTAATTTTTTAATCGTGACAAAGTTTTGTAAAATATTTAATTTTAACTATTGCATTATCTCGTCATTTGTCAGTAAACAAAATGGATAACACTAGAAAGAAGGCAACTAAGTAATCCAATACACAAGTAATGCACGATTCAATTATGGAAAAAACAATTATTTCATCATGGTTATTCATAAGACATAATTTTCATTTTGTTTTCAAAATAATTAAATACATAAGAGTTTATATGCCACGAACCTTAAAGCGCCAGTTAATAATTGTAGGATATAAACAATAAATGTAAATTGTCTGAAATACAAAATGTGTGTGTACTCGCTAACACGGGTGTCATTCGGTTTATCGAGAGAAATGATAATGAAAGAATATCTAACGGAGGTCAAGTATTGCGTGACGTTCGTGAAAGCTCTGGTATCGGATCGTGAAAGAAATTTAATCGAGAAGACATATGAAAAGTCAGTAAATAATCTAATTTAATTAATTACACGGACAAATTTACAACAAAATAAAACTGTCTGTCAAAATGGTTCAACATTATGATCAGTATGTGAGAAAATCTAGTTCTAAAAGTACATAGTTTTTACAAAACAACAAAAGGCATATTGCTCCTCGACATTTCAGTGACATCAAAAATGTAAACAAACATGATATTTTCACAAATTCTAATAAAATAAACTATTTTTCTTCGAAAAAGGGCATTCTATTTGAATGCATCAAATGGTTCTCATAGTTATTTTGTATAAACATAATCTGAAACTTGGTAAAAAATAGAAATATTTAAACAAAATTGATATTTCGGATCGTTAAAGATCACGTACCGGTTTTTGAAGATCGTGAAAAGGATCGTGAGAGATCTGATGCTACGAAGACGTTCAAATTATTCTTCAATTATATGATAATTAATATTTGTTATTGGTATTAAAAAAACTAGATTGGCATGACTGACCCGGGTCTCTTTTGTTGATGAATAAGGCTATAATCGTGCAATGCCATTGGATATAATATCTTATAATACCACACAGACTTGGTAAATTGTATCAATACCAGTCCATTTGTCCGTCCTTCATAAGTATTGTTTTTTTTTATATATTAAGATGTTTTATTTTGTATTTATAACTTTGAATTCTCATTTTTATGCCCATTATATTTATAAAGCTTACATACCTGTATGCTATAGGGCCACGGTATTTGGTGTATGGTGTACATGTCTGTCTGCATGTTTCATATATGACGTCAATTGTATTTGATATATTGAATGATAGTAAGATGTCTGTGTCTGACTGTCGGTCAGGGTTCATATACTTTCGACCTCATGCTCCGAATTAATTGGCCAAACATAACTTTTACATTTGTCAGTTTCTAAGGTACTGTAAGCATCGGAACACCTATATTTGGTGTACGGGATTTTTGTAGAGATCTGTATGTCATGGTTCATCTGACCTTGACCTCTTTTTATGAATCATTGACAATTTTAAGCGTATGTGACACTTCTAGTAAAACCCTTAATATTACAGAAGTTCAACAAATATACTATCATAAGAAAAGCAGACGAGACATTTCAGCATTTGCGCTCTGGTATTCTTTAGTCTGTAATATATAGTTATCTCATTGGAAATCAATCCACATCTGCTACGTTGTATACAAAGATATATATAACTTAAGAAAGTATTGTTGCACAAAATGTTGGTTATCGTTCAATATCAAATTTTTCATGAAAGATGCTGTTTTTGCTATAAGTTTTTGGTTGATGGTTAACTTTTTGGTTTAAACGTTGCATACCCATATTATTGGCTAAAAAATGGCGGTCTGCCTGATTTGTACTAGTCCGATTCTCAGAGCTGAATTTTTCACACTGATTTAGACACGTTTCAAGTTATTATTTTTTTTAACTTTAGAGGTAAAGTGTTGAATTTAAAAAACAAATAACAGCTTCCATGTTCGTTCTTATCAAAAACGTTACAGGCTTCAACCAGTTGCAGGTATATCAAGTGGTAAAAGAAATATTGATTTCTGATTATTAAGTCTGGTCACGCTTTATCTTTCACGTTCAAAATAATGCGTTGCCTGATCTTTCACGATCAAGTTTGATGAGAAATCAACAAAATTCAAGGTTTTCATAAACAAATGAACGATTTTGAGGGAGGAGCATACTTTTATTTTACTGTACTTTCGGACACAACAAAGATTAGATTTCAAATATATCATGATATATTGAAATATGACCATTATAGGTACAAAAAACGTGTTTTTTAATTAATCCCATAGACATGCATTGTGTCTTTTGTGTTTTTTTCATAAAGTACTGTATATTTTCTTTATCTTATTGCACAGTAATGTTGAGGAAGTTGAATCATTTTGACAGCATATTTTTTGTTCGGATTTGTTCCGCATTTTGAAAATTCAGCGATTTTTTCACACATTCTGAAGTAGAATTTACATTTAATTACATTCAAGATCCGGTATCAGAGCTTTCACGACCGTCTCGCAATACTTGACCACCGTTTGATATTCTTTCACGATCATTTCTCTCGATAAACCGAATGACACCCGTGGCTAAGAAACAGGAGAAAACCTCTTCGTTCTGTTTCTAAATCTTGAACCAAAAAGTTTAATTTTTACAGGTAAATGTAATTACAGGTGACATGATTGTCAAAGCTTTACCTGTTATATTGCAAATATATAACAACTGCCCCCAATAAATGTTCACATAACAGGAAAAAAGTAATAAAAGTTTGTTTAAGACTGTTCAAAACAATATTTTAATTCATGCACGAAAAAGAAATTTTGAAAGATTTATATTCTTATGGTTTCTGTTCAATCTTTTTCTCTAATTTTTTATTCTAATAATCTCTTTTGACTCGAAAACTAGCATATTTTAACACAAGACATAAAATCACAATCCAGTGATAAAAAAACTGTTTCTTTGATCATATTTAAGGAAGGACTTATCTTTTTAGACAATCAGTTGGATTTTTGTCGAGCCTGCGACTTTTGTCGCAGAAAGCTCGACATAGGGCGGCGTTAGCTAACTTCTTAATAACTTTATATTTTAGAAGGTGGAAGACTTGGATGCTTCATACTTTGTATATAGATGTCTCATGTTACGAAGTTTCCGTTTGTCACATGTCCATTGTCCTTTACCTCATTTTCATGGTTCAGTGACTACTTGAAAAAAAGTTAAGATTTTTTGTAATGATAATTTCTCTCTTGTTATGAGTAACATGATAACTATGTTTTGTGTTTGCGTACCTAGCAAGGTCCT